CAAAACTCTGCCCCCTTTGTATGCTTTCTAATATGTATGCTACAACTTGCTGTTAAAAAAAATGTAGTAAAACTTGAAGCTAGAGTATAAACTACCAATTTTAAAGATACCATATTGGATTTCATAATTGAAGCATTGAAGTTGAATGAACCAATTATATTCTTCATCTGGTCATGTTCTAGGTTGATAAAATGAAGATTCATTGAAGTATAAGTTTTTTTTTAAATCATTCTAGTACTTGTATATGAATAGTTAGCTGCATATGAAACTATCTTCTAGAAATATGAAGAAACAACGAAGGAAAACTAAAATGAGAACGAAAGCTCTAAAAGTTTAAGCTTAGCTATGATTCTTTGTTTTAAAGCAGACCATATCAGCATCGCTACAAATGGGAAACCCATAACTCTTGCAGTATACCACTTGGCGAAAGAAACTATCTTATGCATGTAGTTAAACAATGGTAGTGGCTTAAAGGCAAACAATAATGAATAGAAACCAGGATCTCCTTGTAATCACATTCAGCAAGACTGCATATGATGTAATCCGTAGTAATTGGGCAACAAAAAGGACAACCAATACATAAAAGTATAGAAGACCTAATTAGCTCCACCTTGAGTGATTATCACAAACCCAAATCCAAGTACAACCATTCGTGACTTATAAAACAATATCCTGGCATAGTAAATCGATGATATAAGTTTATCATGCTTGCAATCCCACTCAAAATTGATGCAAGCAACTGAGAGACCATTACAAAAGATGCAGAAAATCCCTGCATTAGTACCATGTTGAAACTGATGCAAGCGATTGAGAAATAGGGAGCAGAAGAAATGTCTAGAAACTATAACCAAAGAACTTGTTTCATAAGCTGCACTCGCAATTGCTTCAGTTAAGTAGCTAGCAATATAAAATCAATGGTATAACTATGAAGCCCTTTTTGAAATGTATCAGCCACTATACCAAAGCTCATTCAAATCAGTTCATATAATGACAACATAAATAGATGCTTTGATACATACTAACCACAATGTTGTCATGAGATTACTTACAAAAGCTCTGTTTCTTTTGATATATCAATTGTGCAATCTGCAATTATCTTTGCAAGTATTATTCATTCATTTCATAACAAAATCTTTAGATTATAAGGAATGCCCTATGGCCTAGCTGAACTCTAATTACAGGAAAACTAATTCATAATTTTGAACTAAGATGAATGCAAAAGTATACATATGGCCATGAATGAATGGTGATTATAAGAATGACAATTTCTGGAGGCCATTTTCAAGAACAGAACCAATGCCCTGGATACAGAAGAATTAGAAAATAGGAAATTAAAGCCAATAGGAAACCATACAAATACAGTAAGATACTAAACTTAAATAATCCCTAATTCTTGACACATACAAATACAGTATGTTTCAAAGGGATGATGAAAAGAATTAAGAACCCCATCTAGACGTATTTTGTATCGATTTACCTCATTTCAGTTGCTACTCTACTCTTCCCAGCCGATTTTGCGACTCTGACATAATTCTGAAGTTTGGATGAGACTTTAACTTCAGAGATTGAAAGGCCAGGCTAGCCGACAGAGAAAAGAGAGGAAGAACACCATGTCATTAAGCAGCACTAATAATAGAAGAGATCAATTAAGGAGGAGCTTGAGATGGATCTAGGATAAGAAGCTTTGGCTTTCCCCTCCTTTGAAACCTCAAGGGCTATCGGCAGCCAGAAGGGGATGGATTTCTATAATTGGGTCTGTCTCTCTTATGGAGCTTTCGGAATTCACAGAGAAGTAGATCTGACAAAAGATGGATCTGTGTAACATGAGTGCCCGCCAATCTCAATGGTGAGGAGGGAGGAGGCTGCGTCGGCCGGGGGTTTGGAAAAGGAAGGCTGCAGCATTGCCGATCGAGGGTTTGGGAAAGGAAGGCAGAGGTCGAGAAGGAAAAGGAAAAGCCTCATGACATCTGATGAACTTTAGGTTTCAGAAAGGGAAGGAAGAATCCCGGTGTCACTGGAAAGGGGAAATGCCACATTATGTTTGGCTAGCCGAAAGTGGGATCACGTGGGAGTACAAATATGAAAGTAGAGTTGCCCGTACCAGAACCAAAGAACCGAATCACCAAATCCAGCGAAAATATCGTAATGAACAGTGCTTCCGATTTTCTTGGAACTTGCACTTTAATAATTCTAATGTCTGAAACTGGCTCATTAGACAATGAGTCCAATATTGAATGAAGTTTTTTTTTATTTTTTGAACACTTAAACACTCGTAAGATACTTGGTTTGTGGGCCTCACCTCCTAGTGACCACTAGCAACCTACTTCAATTTTCTTGCTATGTTTTCCTTTTCGTTTATTTAGTTTGGCTTCCCCACAATCTCTCCATGGGAGATGAGTGTTTTCTAGTTTCAATCGCTCCATTGAGGATGATCTCTTTATAGTTTGCGGTATGATTTCTCATATATGGATTCTCTTCATTTTTTTGGTTGTTAAAGGGGGTTGAGTTTTTCTTGCAATCCAACTTATGTTCTCCTCCCTCATTCTTTTAGCCCTACCTCCATGCTTCATCCATTTCATGCGACTATTCAGAGATGCAATAGCCCTCCCTCTGTGAATCGGTTCGGGCAAAGTTGGTGGATAGAAGATGAAGAGTCCTTCCTTTGGTTTCAACGGATGTTGTCTATTGCTTGGTTGAGTTCTTCTTCTCTTGTTTTGGTGGAGGATCGATTGCTCCTTCAATGGGGAAACATAGAGGGGTTTGCGCTTTCTGGTTCTTCTTGCCTTTGAAGATCCAGTCTCCTTCTTGACCTTCTTTCTTTCTGGGATGGAGTGCTCCAGGACCCGTCAGTTGGTGCTTCATGGAAGGGCTCTGGGTGGGTTCGTCGCGAAGTTGCTTTTCAAGTTGAATGATGTGCAGACGAGTCTCTGATGGTTACGCTGGTTTCTAGAGCTAGGCGGCTAGTTGTGTTAGGTAATGAGTAGGGTTGTAAATGAGCCGAGTCGAGCCGAGTTTTACCCTAGCTTGAACTTGGCTTGTTAATAAATGAGTTGAGCTCGAGCCATTTACTAACGAGCCGAGTCGAGCTCGAGCTAGGCTTGTTTAGTAAAATCTTGAGTTGTATTTGATACTTCATTTTGAATGTCATGTATGATACATGTGATTGATGTCATGATGAAAAAAATAATAATAGTCAAATGCTCAATATTAACTAATCTCATATTATACTTTGTTGATATCATATTATGTAGTTAATAAATTTGAACTAGTCCAAATAATGTTATTTAACAGTATCGAAGCAATCTGTGATATAAAATCTCATTTTAAAATAAAAAATAATATATATTTGCTCACATACTCAACATGTTAAGTTTCAGATAAGGTGAGATATATAATTTAAGAATCATATGAATTACTCATAAGGTATAGATCGATTCGCCTACAAGTCGGTAATCAAGTGGGCTCTCTTGGCACAATGTGAGACATCTCATCATGAGCTCTAAACGAGCCAGCTCACGAGTTTAGCTTAGCAAGCCACCAAATCGAAATAGCTCGCGAGCTTCTCGACTAAACAATGCTTAACTCATACTCGACTTGTTAATAAACGAATCGAATCTCGAACGAGCTTTTTCCAATTCGAGCAACACAAGCAGCTTGTCTCATTTGCAGCTCTAGTAAAAGGTTTTACCAATGTTTTTATGCCCCTCTGTGTAATTTTGCTTATTTGTTTACTTTTTGTTGGGCTGATCGTGGTGGGCGTTTTCCCTCTAATGTAATATGTTTTTGTCTTTTGATTGGACTTGTACCACTTTGATTACGTCCTTCAGTAATACAACTGATCTGTCGAAAAGGAAAAACGAGCAACTGACAAATAATTTGAACTCTATAGCAATCATTATGTGTTAACTTGAATGGATACTAGTTTTTTCATGAAGTTATCTTATGTGCATCTTGAATGTGTTAACTTGAGTGGATACTGGTTGTCCACCCACCAAATTAGGGCTGGTAAACGGTTATTCTATTGACGGTGTAACCGATAATCGATAAAATGATAAACGGTCGATTCTCGATAACCAAATTTAGCTATAACTAATCGATGGTTAAATGGTTAATAACCGATGGTTAAATGGTTAACCGAGTCACCGATTACGACCATCCTCATAGTTAAAGCAAAAAATAATAGACCTCCATGAGCTGCAAACATATGCCAAAAAATAATGGGGTGTTTGAAGATTACAAGACCCCTGTCTATTCTAGTTGTAATAGTGACTTAGACTCAAATGAGAATAATTTAAAGGAAGAATTTTAGAACGAACACAGTAGAAAGTCATACTTGCGCCACAGTTGCTCGACAACAATTGGTAACATTAAGCTTCCATGTAATTTGATTGGGTTTACGAGTTGAGTAATTGTTGATGAGTATCGTTATATGCTTCTTTAATAAAGTTTGACGGTAGAATGGTATTATTGTGTACTCGTGTTGGATTGACTTGATTATGTGTTGATATATATCTATACATATATATATATATATATTTTTAAATTATTTTTTATTCAATGATAACAACTTATGAAAAGAACACATGCGTATGTATGAAAAAGTATAGAAAATTTCACAATTGAAAGAAGTAGGTCTTGTGTTTGTTAGGTTATCGATCGGTTATTTTGGTATAACCTTGCCGAATCACTTGGTTAACGGTTATTCAGTTAACCGACAAAATAATCGAGAACCAACTATACGATTACGGTTAACCGACTAATTTAAACGGTGCGGTTAACGATAAGCACAAAATGCTTAACGGTTAACCAAGAACCGACTAAATGATTCCAGTTATAACCGAGCCGATTATCAGTCCTCCACCGAATTATCAATTTGAAATCTTAAGGCTACCATCTCCTCCATCATTAGTTTAGACCTCAACTCTAATTGAAATGTGACTTTAATGCCTTTTGCATACATAACGGATTTTGGTGATCAAATTGGTACTTTGACCCACCAAAAAGGAAGTCAGCAAATGATGAGGAGGACGCATGCTGGGGCATAATTATCTCCCAAATTAATTGTTAGCGAAGCAATTGCGTTACCGGCCGTCGGTTAAGTCATCCGCCAATCCCCAAGTTTCCCAAACTGCCGGTGGCGAAGTCGAGCAAACAGTGAGAGAGAGCCCGAGAGAGAAGAAGCAGAAACAGGGCAGGCAGCGATCAACTGTCGTTCTCTCCTTACCAAACCCTAACCCCAATCATATTTGACGTTTCAAATCCAAAGTCCTCTTCGGTTTCGATAAATTTCGGTCAAAAACTCGGATCTGTCAACAGGAGCCATGGATGCGCCGAGCTCATGGGACGCTTTACGCAAACAGGTTTCCGCCCCATCTCTTTTCTTTTCCTTTTGTGCCGTCCGTGATTTCCTTACGTTTGTGCGTAAAATCGCGATAGAGCTGCTCTTCCTCTTATTGGTATCTAAGATGCTGCAATTGTGTTGGGAGATGATAATACCGGCTCTTAAAATAATGGGGACAGAATCGTGATTCTTCTTTACTAGACTAGACTGACATTTCTACCTTCTGGATTTTACGATTGAGTCTCCTGGCTCTCTGCACATTGATTAATATCAAGTGCCTGTTGATATCCAGTTCTCGAGTTCGCCGCAATGTATGAGGTTGAGTTTATCTAGCTCCCTGGATTTTGGGGTATTGATCTCTAGGTTGTGTTAGGTGTTCTTCTGTAGCGCTACAGATTGAGCAAAGAATGGAGAATTGTCTTGTGCACCTAGTGTGGTATGAATTGCATAGTACGGGTTCTGTTTTGCGACTTATTAGGACAGAATGGCATGACCTGCACACGATACATGCACAACTTCTAGATGAACCATCAGTTGCCTGCAGAAGTTTGGAGTATCCAGAGCGCGTTTGATAGTTGAGGCATTGTGAGGATATCTGCAATTTGTGTTAGAGCAGTCAGTTATCAACATCCTATCTGAAGGTGGATACCTGTAGTGGAATGAGGATTACATGCTGAGGGTATCTGTTCTGCTTCAAATGTTGCCTTCTTCCTATGCAACCTATTTGTTGCTGTTGTTTCAGTTCCGCTGATGTACATTAAATCTTTTGTGTGGATTATTTGTGGGTGACTATGATTTGACATTATGACCTTCATTCAAAATGAGTTCTGGCTTTGTTATTTGCATAATACTTGTCACCCAAGAACACATTCGTGGACACCATAGGAGTTGGTGCCTTGCCTTCTGTTTTTCCCTTCTAGATTATGCAGAATTTAAGGATTTCATGGGAAACCATTATTCAGTTCCCCTCTTCTGAGAAACTGGTTTAACTTTCAATTATCAGGATAGTTTGCCCTGAATACCTTTCATGTTAGAATAGCTCTTCATTCTGCATTTGCGATTTTACCAAGTTGATATTCTCTTAATATGTGTGCACTTGGGCTCTCGTTATCTCAAAGTTCATTGTCTATGCAAAAACCATTCCAGACCAAGTACCTCACTTTACAAATGAAGTAGGATGTTTCCAAATTCATAGATTTTAGCTTTTTTCAGCCTGTTTCTACTATCTCATTTAGCATTGTGTATGTCTTACGAACTACTTTTCTGTGCTCAATTCAGGCTAGAAAACTTGAAGCTCAGTTAGATGAACAGATGAATTCCTATCGTAAGCTAGTATCCTCAAAAGGTTCTGCAAAAGTTGATTCTGACGAGAATGATCTTGAATCCGGTATAGAACGACTATTAGATCAGCTTCAACAAGTAAGTTTGCAGATGCAAGCTTGGGTGTCATCTGGTGGGTCCGAAATGGTATCACATACCTTGACAAGGCATCAAGAGATTCTTCAAGATCTCAGACAGGTTGTGTGGCAGTTTATCTTTCTACCAGCATATGATTTAGGGTTCGTATACACAGGATATCAGTTGTGAACCTTTTGCTTATCATTCAGAAAATCATTTGATTGTGAGCTGTATTATGCGGGGATGCTCGTGCTTTTTACTAACAAATAAACATATCTTATTCAGATCAATGACTTAACGTGAATATTGAAAGTGCAGGAGTTCCACCGTCTTCGTTCGAGCCTGAGAGCTAAGCAAGAACACGCCTCACTTCTTGACGATTTCAGAGAGTTTGATCGAACAAGGCTAGACTTAGAAGAAGGTGCAGACTCATCAGACCAGGCTCTTCTTAGAGAACATGCAACCATCAACCGTAGTACTGGACAGGTATAACATTACAAAAAACGGTTGTCAGTTCTTCTTGTAGAGGAATAGTTATGCTTGCTCTAATGGGGCTTTTTGTACCAATGTGTGTTTCTGGTCCACTATTTAGATTTTCGATAGATGAATTGTGGGGTACAATGGTTGTCACAATAACTTTGCAACTCTTAATGGTTAGGCTTATTTTTTTAAAAAATTAGTGTGCTTTTGGTAAGAGAGGGAACTGAGAAGGTGGAATAGAATGTTGTTCTTATGGTTTTAATTGTTCGGAGTGCATTTTATTGCTACGTAATTTTCAAGGGATGTGTTATTCCTCTAATACACCCGGACTAATTCTTATTATATGATCCATGATCCTTTCCTGCTGTTTCATGAGGCATAATTCCCTGTTCTGAAGGTTAATGCTGTCGTTGTTGTCACTTGTCAGTAGCCCACTTGAATCATATTAGGGTTTCATAGGCAAACATGTTCTATGAGAAAGAAATTATCTATGTTACTCCTTTGTAAACAAATCTTCTTATTCCAAATCTATATCATGCTCCCTCTTGCCATCAAAGCTAACTTTTCTTCACTATTTTCGGGGCTTTATTGTTATAGTATCTGTTTTGTTTGGTTTAGTTCCATTCTGGCATTGACACTGGTCATATTGTTTCCTCTATATAAGGGTTTATGATAAGTTTGCTGCTGAAAATCGTGCCGCTCGACTTTGTCCTGTCAGATCATCTGCAGTAAACAACCAGTGGACATAATGAGGCTGTCTAGAATCTTTGGATATATATTGGCTGTAGATGAGCATTTATTTGTTTTACTTTCAGCTGTTTCTCTATCGTGTATCAGAAGAAGAAAAAAAAATTGTTTGCAAAAGCATGGTTCTACTCACAAGGGTCTGGGTCGGTCAGTTACTGTCGTTTGTCCCGGTTTTCCTTTCCTTCATTTTGTTTTGCTTAGTGAAGTGTGCCTAGTTAAAGTTCTGATCTTGCTGCTATCACTCGTTTTATTGAAATTGCTGTTTTGTGTTGTACTCCAGGTGGATACAGTAATTTCTCAAGCTCAGGCAACACTTGGTACCCTTGTTTTCCAACGTTCAACTTTTGGAGGAATCAATTCAAAGCTCACTAACGTTAGCAGCCGACTCCCAACGGTATGCAGTTCTTCATTGTCTAGGTTAACCCCATACAGCAGTCCTGTTCTTGCTCGTAACAAGTCAGTATTGTATGTTTATGGGTGTTTATTATTGATGATTGGGTGCAGGTAAATCACATTCTTGCATCAATAAAGAGAAAGAAGTCCATGGACACCATCATACTTTCTCTGGTTGCATCAGTATGCACTTTCCTTATTTTCGTTTATTGGTTGACCAAGTGATCGAAGACTCTCGATTGCCAGAGTTGTTTCTATGGAGAATGGAGATCCATGGGTCACGGCGGTCTTGCTTATTGTTGGATTTGGAAGGGTCGTGGTTTTCCCCCCCCTGGAGTTGGTACTGCGGTTGCAGTTCACTGAAAAAACGAGGAAAAGACACTCCAGCTGTCAGTACAACTTTGTAAAATGTAATATTTCCCGTCAACGGAAGTGATCATATATGTAAAGGTCAAAGCAAATTTCGACTGTAAATTTGGGTATCATTTCTCTTTTGAACAGCTAGCATATACAAATCAATCCTCTTCACCAGAACTTCATCTATAATATCAGTCATTCATTGTTATTGCTCGAAGAATATGCTGGAACAGTTAGCGGTCACTGCTGGGCTGTGGTAGCAAGTTCTATGGAAGAAATCATCGGCAGTTCAGGCAACTTAGCTAAACATATAAGATCTTGGAAGTTGGAACACACAAAGCTGCACCTGAGTAGTGAAGTGGGTTAGGAATGACAGTCGATCCATACAAGCATCTATTTCAAAGGTAAAACGTTAAAATTTTAATTTTTTTTTTCATAAATTTTTTTGTTATGAAATTTTGTTTTTCTGACTGTCGCTTTACTTTCCAAATAAGCTTACGGAGAACGGAGGAGAGTGTTCAAGCTCATCTTCTTCAATTCCTGATTCATGTGAAGAGCACTTCTACTATGCTATAAAGTATTGGTGCTTTAATGTACAACTTAAAGTTGTACCATAAAGTTAAATGTATAAGTTCAGGTTGTACCATAAAGGAATTTGTGCTCTTATGTTATGGTCCAACTTTATAACTTAAACTTGTACCATCAAATGAAAGTACAAGTTTAAGTTGTACCATAAACAATTTGACAATAGAGTATAGGTACAATCTGAAGTTGTACCATAACGTTAAAGGTACAACTTCAAGTTGTACCATAAAGGAAAAAACCTATAGCACCAATGCTATATAGCATTGTAAAATTTATCTTCGTGTGAATCCTAAATACGAGCCATTTAGGATAAACTTGATCAACAAGGAAACACAGACTCACTTTTTTCGTATCAATAATAATATAAAATTAAGACCTTGTTCGAGACAAGAATAGTGTCCTTTTGGGAACAAAAAATGACAAGAATAGTGTCCTTAATTTCTGGGCCCTTTGCTATGCCAAATTGCCAATGAGCCGGGTCAAGCTAGTAAAATATAATAATAATAATAATAAATTTAACTCAGCAATTATTAAGGAGCCCTTGATCACTACCAAACTAACACCACTGACGACAATTTTCAAAATATGACAATGGACCCATCCTAGAGTAGTTATGTAATGTGACTCAGCAATCAGGAGGCCTTGTACCCTACCTACCGGCTACAGTTACATAAAACTTTGTCTAATGTTCTATAATAATTTATAAACTATTATTCCATTGGATCCTAAACAAATTATATTTTTTAAGTTGGATACCATAAAAACAATGGAAATTGCTCATGTGGACACGTACATAATCATAATAATTAATGGGCATCCAAGATGGAATCAAAGTGAGCTTCTAAATATTCTATTGTATGTGAAGGGTAGAAATTCTTTGTTACCAAATAAATTATGGGATCCAAAACGAAAGCAAAATTAAAATAATGAGTGGTCTAATTATTGAGCTGCCAATTCCTTTCATGAAAGTCAATCAACAAAACGCTGTAACTTGGATATACCCGTATTGACAACAAAGTTAAATCATTCAAAAAGTAAATAATTATAAACTACATCCATAAAAAAAAATAGCACTTCTACTATGCTATATAGTATTGTTATATAGTATTGGTGCTTTAATGTACAACTTAAAGTTGTACCATAACATTGATTGTATAAGTTTAGGTTGTACCATAAAGCAATTTGTATCGTTATGTTATGGTACAACTTTACAACTTGAAGTTGTACCATCACATAAAGGTACAAGTTTAACTTGTACCATAAAAGAATTTGTACAAAAAGTATAGGTACAATATGAAATTGTACCATAACGTAAATGTACAATTTTAAGTTGTACCATAAAGGCAAAACTCTATAGCACCAATACTATATAACATTGTAAAAAAGGGTTGCTGAATGGGTTGAATGGGTTCAGCAACCCTTTTTTATCTTCTCCAAATGTAGCACCGAGGTTCAGATTTGATTAACAAATGAACGTCTGGTGGCCAATGGGTTGATGCCCATCTCAATTTGTCTACTTGCTCCGTAGCATTTTTGCTTGTGTGAAGCTTAAGAACTGTTCCCTTCTCCTTTTCAATAGAATTTGTTAAATAAACGGAAAAGTAGATAACGAATAGTTATGATGATGGTTACCTTCTATAGAAAAAGTTGAGTGAAGCTCGTTTCAACTGATCGGTATCGTCCCTCCTCCCCAGTCGGATTTGTTTTAGATGACCGGAAAATTTCACGCGGGAGGTGAGTCGTTGTTGATTGTGTTTTGTTTCAATAGAATATTCTCTTAACAATAAAAATATTAAAGGGATAAAGAAGTACTTTTTAACTTTTTTTAGTTAAGGCAATTATATAAATTTAGGGCGACATTTAGCAATCCCCTTTGTTAAACCAGACAAAACCAATCAATGCATTAACTCTTAGTCCACTTAATTTTCGGACCAAACCACGTTAACAACCTTGACATTGAGCAATATTCTCCTCTAGAACTCTACTCAAAAGAGTAAATAATAGCAAAACAGTAAAAACAAATTTTTTTTTTTTGGGTCTATTAAAGCATGAATTGAAGAAACCTGCCTGCCCCGCAAAACATAACAAAGCGAAAAAGTCGGTTTCAGCTTTGAAATTTTAATCACAACCTTTCTGACACGGAGGACCCAGAAGCAGCAGAACTGCAGAAGAGAAAGACCACCTTCACGTTCTTATCCCCATCCATAACGGTGTTAACACGTCATCCCCACTTGGGACGGTGACTTTTGGATAAGGACTTTTTTTTTTAATTATTTTCCCCTTTTCTTTCTTTCCCGTTTTCCGCCCTCAAAATTCAATGGTTATAAATATACAGTCCTCCAAGGCGCCTTCAGATCTCAACATCCCCCTTTTCTTCTCCTCGCATTATCCACAAGAAATTAGGAAGAAAAATATTTCCATCCCCTATTCAATCCAAAGAACAATATCCAGTTTCCAATCCTTTCCCTTCATTTCTGCCCACTGGTTCCGATTCTCTCTTGTGTCTAATCAAGGAGAAAGTATGGCTAGCGCAGCTGCCGCTGTTGGGATGATCGGAGGGGGCGGGTGCGGCGGATCTTCGTCGACCTCGTGGTTCCGGAGCCGGAGAAAGGCGAGGAATAGTACTGTCGCCGGACGGAATCGAAACTCGTCGCGGATGTTCAGTGTGGCCTCATCTTCCTATTCGGTGATGGATCCTTACAAGACGTTGAGGATCCAGCCTGGAGCCTCCGAATCCGAGGTCAAAAAGGCCTTCCGCCAGCTCGCTCTACAGGTACCTAACCTTTTTTCCCCCCTTCTCTTCACTCTTGGTTCATTCGTGAGATCTGGTCACAGATTCAGTCTTCTAATCTCCGATCTTATGATTGTTGTTTTTGTCTACAACAGTATCATCCAGATGTGTGCAGAGGGAGCAATTGCGGTGTTCAGTTCAGCCAAATCAATGAAGCCTACGATGTAAGCCTCAATGCCAGCCAAATAATAACTTGATTGAACCCTTCGATTCCTTGCTTTGGCTGGTCATTTTCCGTTCTCTTGCATTTAATTAACTGCTTAAAATATGATTAGGCCTCAAGAGTAGGAATTAGTGGAAGAAGCATATGTAAAAAAACCTCGAGGGATGCGTATGCGTAGGGGTAGATCAAAACAGGGGACTGAACTCTCTGATGAATTTGCGGGGCCAGTTTCAGGAATCGTTAGGTGTCTTAATTGGGTAGTGGGTAGGCATCTCAATCATTAGAGTTAAAATAATTCGTGCAAGTATGCCGATTTTTAGCTACCACCCTGAGTCTCTGGCAGGCAGTTTCGTCAGCATGTTCTGACATCGTTGGATTGTGCTTAGCCGAGATCTTCCTCGATGGATGTATGTCTCAACATTATTTATCAGAATCACTTGACGTGTAAATATGGATTACATGTCATAGAACTTTGGGGTGCGGTTATGATGTTAGCATCAATCACCAAACACACTTCTTGTAAAAGGAAGAAGCAACTAAAGCCAATAGTTTATCCATTTGTTAGTTTGGACTATATTCCATCATCTCTATGTCATTCAGTGAGCCCCAATGGTCTGTCGTGTGCATGTGCAACTCGCCATTACATGTACGATTTTGAAAAGGAAAAGAACAGGGTTCTTAAGTTATGATTGTGGTTTGGAATGCAGATTGCGATAAGGAATTTGAGGGAGGAAGCGTCGGTAGGGTATGGGTCGTATGAGGCGGCAGATGAAGAAGAAGGAGAAGGAGATGAGGCGATGGAGGATCCAGAGTGGGACATGTGGGAGGAATGGATGGGGTGGGAAGGAGCCGGGATCAGGGACTACTCTTCCCACATCAATCCTTACATTTGACCATCAGATTCAGAGGAGGAGCTGGATGTGCAAACAAGAAATGTGAATATTTTTATTGTGTTTTCGTTCGCTCTGTTATGCCGGCCGCTCTTGGGCCTCTGTACTCAGGCCCACCTTTGATAGATAAGAACAGAAGGTTGTGGCCACGTTTGTAAATATTGACGACTGTGAGTGAGGTTGGAAGAAGCCATGCAATGTGTACATATATGATATTTGTATGGTATGCCTGTTTCTCTCAGTATTTTTTCTAGGGGGTGTTTAAACGGATTGGTTACCGTAGTAACAATATTAATCGGTAGCATTCGGTTAATTTGGTTTGGATTATTGATTTAGTTTGGTTAAACAATTTAGCTTATTTGGTTTAAGTGGTTTGGTTTGGTTTGGTTTCAACATTGCTAACCAATGAAATCAATTAACCAATTAATGATACACCTAATTATTTATACTTTCATGCAACCAACCAATCAAACTTTCGCGATTCCTTATTTTATTTTCATGTGCACAACAAACCAAAATATTATAGGTAAAATATTAAATGGGTATGCCTATTTACTAATTGAAAATATTTAGGACGGCTACTAGACTTTAGGATTACATACAATACCATGACATGTACCTCAAACTATGTATAGTTTAAGTGTTTTGTAGGAGAGTTTTAACTTTCTAATGAGTGGTATTTGTATGTACTTAATATTTATGTTAAGGGTTTGTTGTAAGCTAACTATATTAGATGTAGAGATGATGAATGATGTCTTAACTCGAATGATGGTGATAATCATGGATGGATAGTGTTATTACTATTATTGCTTATATATAATGATAATTTATGGTAGCAACAATATATGGTTATGTTTTATTAATTGACAGGATAATTATTTTATATAATGTTATGTTATTTGGTTATTTCGATTATTCGATTAACCAAACCAATTAAACTTTGGTTTGGTTAATTTGGTTTTTGAATTAATTTGGACGGTTTGGTTAAGATATTTTATTCCATGATTAATGAAATTTAGATTTAACTGGTTTGTTATTTCCACGATAACTATTTGAATCTCTAGTATTTTCCCTTTTCTGTTGATGATGCCGAGACCAGCACTTTTTAGCAAAGGTGTTGAATTCCTAACTAACTGGAAGTAAAGGTTGTCTTAGTACAAAGAAAGATGAATGGATCAGAGAAAGGACTCAAATTTATACTACTCAACTAACTAAATA